TAAGACCCAACCCTGGCCTGCAGAGCGTCGCCTGAGACCGGTGGCTCGGTGGCTCAGGCACAAGCTTTGGAATCACCAGCTGTTTGTTTGCTTTGTGACCTGGAGCAGGTGAACGAGCTTCTCTGACACTCAGCTTCCTCATTTGTAAAATAGAGAAAACGATCCCCCTCCTTGTGGGGATCATCATCTCCTACAAACCAGGCAGATGCTGGGGCCCCGGCTCATCTGGGCTCTCAGAGCCCCCCGCCCGCCACTCCCCGGGGTGGGCAAGGGAGGTCATTCCCCAGAGCACACCCACTTCGGGCTGCCAGCTCCCACCCCAGCAGCCCCAGAGAAAGGGCCCCCGCCCCCTCCTCCGTTTCCACCACTCAGAAGTAAAGAGGGAAATCTCAAATTGGCATCCATTCTGAAAACAGTTCTATTTTCTGCTCTTTTCCTGTTCAGAATAAAGAGCAGCCTAACATTTGAGCAGAAGGATGGGAGTGATTTCCACATGGGCCCTTACTGGGTGAGATAAGGAATAATTAATGGCCTGAACACTGCGAAGGGATTGTCCCCGGGCAGAAACTGCCCGCTTTTGTACAGAAACATGCCCCTGGACGTGCCTTGAGAGCTCCTGCCTCTGTTTGTGCTGTGGTGCAGGAACTGTGCCCTCTCTGCCCTCACTGCCTGGCAGGTTCTAGCGGGCAGAGGGCTGGGCCGGTGGGGGTGGACGCTCCCAGGATCTCCTCAGTGCAGCTGGCCCCTGACCTGCCTCAGAGGTCTCCCCCAAACCCATGGGCTGGCCCGGCCCTTGGGAGCACCATGGTCTCCCGCTGTGCTGGGCCCGAGCCAAGTAAGAGTATCTCATCATTCTAGAAACTACTGTCCTGCTGGCTGACAACGTTTCACCCACACCAGAGAGATCTTTACAAAAACATGTATTTTATCAAGTCTCCTTCCTGCTAAAAGCCCTCGAGATAAAGTTCAGACTCCTTAACGTGCTTCAGAGATATGTCAAGATTTGGGCCCTCAACCCCTGCTCTTCACATCCCAGCTGTTTATGCCCCAGTACCTTTGCACAGGTTGATCCCACTGCCTGGACTGCCTTTCACTCCTTATCATGAACATTTGTCTCCTCCCGCAGAGCAGTCCCTGGGCCTGGCCTGCTCTCGGGTTCTCTCCCAGGGGTGCCCAGGACGCTTGTACACTTGTCGGTTCCTGTAACTGTCACCCTAGATTGCGTTCATCAGTTTCACACGATAACCCAGCAGCTTCTCACAAGTTCTTTTTGTGACACATGGAAGCTTCGTAGTCATATTACAAGGGCAATGCCTACCTGAGGTCCACTAGTTTGGGCTTCTTTAAGGAAAAGGACATGTGTGATGCCACTCTGGATCCCTAGCATCTAGCATAACACCTAAACAGAGTAAGTATGTACTCAGTAAATGTTTGTTGATTGAAAAAAATCAAAGAATGAATGAACAACAGAGTAAGTGCTCAGTGTTTGTTGATTGAAAAACTAAAAAAATAAGTGAACAAAACCCAGTACACCTGAAACATTAGTACCTTAACTTCTTCCCCTGTCAGAGCTAGACTCATGAGGGCCACAGTTCCATTCCTTAACAAGCACTAAAATATCACTGGAACGTGCGGGGGACAGAGAAATATATTAAGCAGGACTCTTCTGAAGAATTAAACTGCATTATAAGGAGCACATGGGTGAACTACTGATGTCGAGGGGGTGAATCCAGTCATCAAGGACGGCTGGTCATTTGTCCTAGCCCACTTAACTGGAAGGCTTTGCTTTGCTGAGTGGATTTTGTAGGTTCAGGCTCAAGGTCAGGGTGCTTGAGATCACAGAGGAGACACTGGGCCCTTCCCTCCCTTCCCCGCACCTTCAGCCTGGCAGACCAAGACATGCACGTCTTTGTCCAGGCAACTCCACGAGGCCTTCGAGGCCTGCCTCCCAAGCCACCTCCTCTCCTTCCCTGATGCCTGATGGGAATGTCCGAGCCTCCTCCCTAAGCTCCCTTCTAGCACTTAGGCCAGATTGTGGGTGTTCCGTACCCGCCCCCCTCACCAGCACCCCCTACCCCCCAGGCCTTTTACTGCTGGAGGGCAGGACTTACACCAGGACCTTTTCTGGAAGGAGCGCAGCACAGGTCAATGCCAGAGGAAGGGGGATTCACTAAGCCCGTGACTGGCAAACTGCGGCTCACAAGCCACATGCGGTTCTTTGGCCCCTTGAGTGTGGCTCTTCCACAAAATACCACGTGCGGGCGCACGTACAGTGCGATTGACACTTTGTGGCCCATGCGCAGAAGTCGGTTTTCAGCCTGGGCGAGTCTATTTTGAAGAAGTACTGTTGATAGTTGGCTCTGTTGACTAATGAGTTTGCCGACCAGTGCACTAAGGGAACGGCTGTGCAAAAGGCTTAAGAGATGTTATGTTTATAAAAAGTGTTCCATGGTTACATACAAATGAGAGATGCTGATTTAAGTCAGGTGAATGGATGCCTTTAAGGGAGGACTTCTCAGAGCACATGCTGACATGCACCATGGATCTCTAAGAGTGGACCAGGATAGGCAGTGTTTCTCAAACTTCTTTGACTATGGAACCCCTGGTTGGAGCAATGCCTTGTTCCACGGAACACAGTTTGGAAATAGTATAGAACGCTGTCAGAATTAGATATACTTGACCAGCCCTCGCATTTTATGGAGGAGGGATCAAGATCTAGTTGCACCCGCAGAGTCAGGACAGAACCCAGGATGCTTCCCATCTCATCTTGGCCTCAGAAGCATTACCCAGAGTGAGAACGCACCCTAACCTTCAGGCCAAGGGGATCGAGGCAGCAATGTGAGCTTGGGAAAGCCCAGGATCAGCTCAACCTGCACAGCCCTTGGTTTCCCCCAGCGAGGCCAGAGTCACCATCTGAGCCCTGGACCCAGTCGGGTATCCATGTATGGGGGTGCAGGGGTCAGAGGGCAGCTTTCGGGAGTCCCCTGGTCTAGTTTATAGGATGGTGTCAGAAGTGTAAACACCACTCAGGCTATCGCCTGGGCCATCCCAGGAAAGCTAGGAGGGGCCTCGGTTGTCCCAAAGGTCTCCTTCGCTCCAGGAGGCAGGAAGTAGGGAAAAGGCAGACCCCCCATGGAGCAGGGTGTGGTGATTACACACCGACTCTAGTTGACACTCTGGGCAGTGTAGCTATGGGCACATTCTGGACACTTTGTGCCTCAGTTTCCACATGGGTGCAGCAGGGATGATAAGGGTAACACCTGCTTCACAGGGTTCTGAGAAGAATTAAGTCACTTAGAACAGCATCAAACTCAAAAGGTTCTTTTCTTTTTTCTTTTTTAGCAAATCCTACATTATTAACAAAAGAGTCTGTACATTTGCATGATACACTAGAGCAGGGGTGGGAAACGTCCGGCCCGAGGGCTGTATAAGGCCCAAGAAATCATTTGGTCTGGCCCTGCCAAGGCATTAGAGGTGAGTTCATTAAATGTTTGACCAAATATAGCAGGCTAATTTTTAAGTTGATAATGCTGTATGGCCCGAGAATGGTGTTATAAATATCCAAATCGCCCTTGGCAGAAAAAGGTTCCCCACCCCTGCACTAGAGCGTGAAACAAAGAAGATATAAATACAGGTATGGATGTAACGTGAAAAAGCCCCCCCCCCCCAAATAAAACCAAAAAACGGAAACCCAACCTGGGGGTGTGGGACCATGCGTGCACGCACAGCGCTGACCAAACATTTGGTGGCTGGTATTGTTACAGAAAAACCGGACAAGAACCAGACAGCGCTCTGAGAGTTTGGAGTTAACACTCTATTCACCGCGGCGGGCTCAGGGAAATGAATCCAAATTCTAAGCAAAGCTACAAGCAGAACTTCCCTTTTTATGGAAGAGCCAGCCCTCTGTGTGCCTGCTGGTGGCGGCCTTGAAAACTACACAGTTCTATCCAATTAAAAAATGCACCTGGCATGGCATTGGGTGTATCTAGTCTCTGGCCTACAAGGTCAGACAGCTAAGTTTTTCTCCCCCATTATTCAAGCAGGCTAGAAAGCAAACTTATTTTTTCAGAGTAAGAGGCCGTCCAAAGAATAGCAGAGAATTCCAAACAGGGGTTTTCCTTCACAGTATCTTATAGAGCATTTTCTTTTTCTCTTCCAAACGTCACTGCCAGCAGAGTCCTGCGGGTTCTACAAAGTTCCTGCTTGCTGTTCTTTGCCGTGTGTTATGTTTGATAAATAAAGGGCAGCAGGGAGAGAAGATGAGGCACGCCCCGTTGCATTAGCTGCAGAGGGTGTTGGAAGCGAGTGCTGGGCCAGAGGGGAGCGTCCTTGAGGATGCCAGGCCCAGGTTCAGTGAGAACGCTTCAGAACTGCGCAGCTTAAGCAAACACTGGGGGTGGGGGTGGG